CTCCCCGTTTTTTTTTTTCCCCCTGAGACAGGGTTTCTCTCAGTAGCTTTGGAGCCTATCCTGGAACCAGCCCAGGCTGGTCTCGAACTCACAGAGATCCTCCTGGCTCTGCCTCCCGAGTGCTGGGATTAAAGGCGTGCGGCACCACGGCCCGGCCCAGATTCTTGATGAGTCTTTCCTTTGGTGTGTTTGCTATGCTCTCCCTCGTTCCTTCTCGTCAGCTCCAACACTGCAGCGTGATTTCCTTTGATGAGCCCATCCCGTTTCCCCTCGCCCCTTCTCCCCGCACAGCCTCTCCCCTGTCTGAAACTGCCGTGTCTTGTCAGGCAGCAGCTGGAAGAGATTCGCCTCAAGCAGGAACAGCAGGAGAACCCAGGCACCAAGAAGCGGAGGGAGAACAAGGACCAGAACCAGGGGGAATCGGCTGGGGAGAAGAGCCGATCCCGAGCAGGAACACGCGGCCTTGTCACCAGCTTGGCTTATAGAAACCGGAACCGGGAGAAAGAGGTGTCAGGGGCTGCGGCTCTTCTCTTTTCACATGAAACTAAATGGGGACCAGTAGAGAAGGGAGTCCCTGCTGTCCCGTCCTCTCCTTGCTCGAGAGAGACGAATCCCTAACTAGTAAACTGAATCTGACCTTCTGGAACAGAAGGGGAGAGAAGGGACAGCTGGGGGACCCTCACCGGGAGGTCTGGGGAGGGAAGGAGGTAGCGTGGAGCAGGGGCCTGCAGCCATCCTTGCTGATGGTTCGAGCCCCATCTTGGACATCCTCTCTCTCTCTCCTGTGCCTTGTAGCTGCTACCAGCACACCTGGACACCATGCAGCCTCAGGACATTGTGGAAGAGGAAGAGCTTGAGCGGATGAAGCTCCTGTTACAAAGAGAGAATCTCATCCGAAGCCTGGGTATTGTAGAGCAGCTCACTCGCATGCTGTACCCCAGCCACCGGGGCCACAGAAAGCTTCATGAGTATCGGGTGAGGGTCCCTGAGAAGCCTCTCGCAAAGCCAGGGAACAAGGGCTGTGATGCCAGCACATGGTGGTGGTTACACCAAAGGAGGTTTATGTGATGGTATCTGTCACTGGAGCCTGGGAGAGGGTCTGTTGCTTCCATGATGTCTGTTCCCAGGATCCCTTGGGTTTGGTATTGCAAGCCAGCAAAGTGCAGCTCCCAACTCTCTCAATGGCAAGAGACTTGCTCTCTCTATTCCTGTTCCGCAGCAACTCACAACTCATGACTGACAAATAACAAGGCCACCGCCATGCTCAGTGGCTTCCATGTAACCGCCCTAGCATTGCCAGTACCTGGCTCCGATGGGAGCTAAGTAAACAGTCTTGGGCAACAAAACAGCTGCCGTTTTCACTCTTCCCTGGGCTGGTAATGAACCTGTTGGGCCCTCTGTTTTTGTTGAACCCCCAGAGAGTAACTAGTTAAACCAGTGGCTATGGCCTAGAAGAGATTGTTCTATTTTTCAGTTGCATATTTCTTCCAACACGCTATCCAGCCTCACAAGAAATATGGTAAGGGGCTGCTCTTCTCCTCTAGCCTAGATTTCACCAGGACGGGCTGGGCAGTCAAGAACTGCAACCTGTGAATTTGGTCCCACTGGTGTTCCTGAGAGGGGCCGCCTCAGAACAGGTCCCTCCTCATTTCCTGCAACCACTCCGGCCCCACGAGTTGATCCCCAGGATCTTAGGGCCACTCTCAAGCACGAATCCCGAAATTGCACAGCATTCTCGGTGCCATCTGCAGCCCAAGAACTTCAACTGGATAGGAGATCCAGCAGCCACTGGCCACTGTTCATTGTCAATGAAGAAATCTGGGAAGCACTATTTTTCCAGCTCTAGAGTCAGGCTCACTGGCCGTAAGTATACAAAACTAGCTTTGGTCACTTTGACTGGTGTAAATTCCCAGTGGCAAGTATTACAGCTGGGATGATCCCAAGATATAAAGTGGCACTCCTGATAGTGTAGTCATGGGGGAAGGCAGTGGACCCGTTTATTTACTTCCTTCTGTCTAGTGACCCTGGTGATAGACATGGCAGAAACAGTCCCAGCCCTCAACAAAGGTTAACAGGGAAATGGACATATAAACAGACTAATAAAATACGTGTGGTAAAGATGCTGGAGGGAAGCTTGGGATGCCAGTCTTCTGTGTAATTGGACCACAGTTGGGAAAGAGGTGAGAACATCTCTTCCATGAGTACCACAACTTAGTGGGAATCCATGTTTCTACTGCAGAAGGTCAAGCCAGCAGAAGGCTAGAAGCCATAAACCGAGCCCTGTCAGGATCAGTGCCACCCACTTTAACCCCAAAGCAGGGCTATCTTCTGCAGCCCGAAAGACAGGGAAGTGACTCATGGACCGAATGCCGCACCTTGCCCTCCATGGTAAACTCTGGCCACAGAGGAGCAAAGGCTGGGAATCTCAGCCTATGCCCTGCCTCTGCACCAGTGCTGCATCATTCCAGCCCACTCCTCAACGTCGTCCAACACAGGTAAAAGAAGGGAAGCCCAGCACTCAACTAAAAGAGCAAATGGCCTTCAACCATTGCCAATGGAAAGACTGCCACCCAGTTCCAGTTTGAAAAGCTCTGGCCAGGACCTTTGTTTGCAAGAGGCAAAACACAGACACCAAGAATTCTTCACCATTCTAAGATTCTTTGGTAAAGATAAACAAGATCGGTAAAGACTAAAAGATGAAGCGCTAAGACCAGCATGTATGCGTCTCTGCTCATCAAGCCTTAGGCTGAGTTTACCGCTAAGCGATGGGTCTGAACCCTGGTTGTGGCCTGTGGCTGGAGGTCATTGGGCAACAAGGAGTTCCCTTCCGAGTGGAGTCAAATGCCCAAGGTACGGTGTAGTCGCCATCAGAAGATTGCTTAGGGTTCGCCCTTCCTGCCACAGTGGCAGAATCAGGCAGGCCTGGGCAGCCTGTGCCAGAGGGGCGGCTCTGGGCAATGAACCCGTCTTTTTATTAAAGTTTATGTCATTTTCCAGGCGCGTCCTGTACCTCCTTTCGATCCTCGCGTCTGAGGCAAGCTCTTCTCATTCACAGTTACCATAGGGGAGCCCAGCGTGGTAGTTCAGGCCCGTAATCCCAGTTACTTGGGAAGCTGAGACAAGAAGATGAACCCAAGGCTAGGACAAGTCAGACAGTCATAAAAAATGCTTGGTTTTTTGTTTTTTTCTTTAATGGCTAGGGAGATAGCTCAGTGGCAGAAGCTTGCCTAGCATGTACGAGGACCCGGCTTGGCTCCCCAGCACCGCAAAAACAAAATAAGCAGAAAAGGGTGGGTACCGACACAGCGCCAGGGCAGCCTGCGCCTATTTGGTAAACTGAAGGCTCGTGATCCCGCCCCACTTCCGGCTCTGCATTCTGCTTCCGGGCCCGCCCTCCCGCTTCCGGTGCCTTCCGGTCGCGAGCTGCGGAGGACCGTCCCGTGTCGCAATGGCGCTCACCCTGAGCCTCTTGTTCGGCCGCCGTGTCCGCGCCGCTGTTGCTCGCTGTGGGTTCGCGACCCAGGGCGTGGCGGGCCTGGGCCCCGTGAGCCGCGAGCCGGACCCCGATTCCGACTGGGAGCCGGAGGAGCGGGCGCTGCAGGAGGTGGAGAGGTACCGGCTCCTTGGCGGGCCCGCAGCCCGCAGCTAGGCCTCCCGCCCCCCAGCCTGGGGCGCCCTGCCGCCGCGTCCGCAGAGGCTCTAGTGACTTCCCACCCGTGGCCGAGGGCGCAGGGGCGAGGGGTCCGCTCCCTTTGACCCCGGGTCCCCTCGCTGGTGACGTGTCTGAAGAGTTCGGCATGCTCACGGCCAGGTGGTGTAGGTGTTAGGTTTCCGGGGCGGCGTCCAGAGGGCTTTAACCTGGCACACATGGCCGGGCTGCCTTTGTGGGCACCCGAGAGGGCTGGGCTCTCCGTGAATTCGTCCGAGACTCTTTAAACACCCACCTTGCTTCCACGCATGGCTTCTGCCATTGGTTCTTTCCCCTAGCGCCCTGAAACGACAGAAAAAGGCAATGCGACTCCAGAAAGTTCGAAGGCAGATGGAGGCTCCAGGTGCCCCACCCAGAACATTGACGTGGGAAGCCATTGAGCAGATCCGGTAAGACGTTGTTTTCACAATGGGGTTTACTTTTTTTGAGGGTTTTGATTTTGTCGTCTTAATAGAAAACGCCATAAGGACCTTCCTAAACCTGTCCAGATTTTGTTTGTTTGTTTGTTTTGCGGTGCTGGGATCAACCCAGGACCTCGCTTATGGTCCGCCAACGGCATTACCTCGGACCCACAAACCACATCCCCAGCTTGGGGTTAGTATGTTACCATTACGGACAATTGGGGGTTTTGGGTTTTTGTTTTGTAAAAATATGAATATTTATAGAGGCCCAAACACCTTACATCTGAATAGGATGTGATGTTCTCCTCCTGAGATCGTGAAATGGAATTTTCCGTGGTTGTGTGCATTGTTTCTGGAAGAGAACTGTAACTTAGAAGTATTGGAAGGAACTTTTCTTGATGGTTTCATGCAGCCCAGGCTGGCCTCCAGTACACTGTAGCCAAGGACGGTCTTGAACTCCTTGTCCTCCTGAGTGCTATATGTGAGATTACAGGTATGTGCCAACTCCCTGGATTTTTTTTTTTTTTTTCTTGGACAGGACTACTATTAGACCGGGGTAGCCTGCAATTCTCGGCAGTCCACCTGCCTCTGCCTCCCAAGTGCTGGAATTACATTGTGTGTGAGCCACCATTGTTGTTTGAAAGGGGTCTCAAAAGTATCTTTTTTTTTTCCCTTTTTTTTTTTTTTTAAGTGTTAAGGTCTGTTTTCTCTTTTAGGAGCTGGGGGAGATCAGTTGGTAATTGTCTAGCAAGTGTTATGGGGACCTGAATTTGGTTCCCCATTACTCATGGAAAAAGCGTGATGTGGTGGCATGTGCTTGTAATTGTAATTCCAGCAGTGGTGAAAGGGGAAGCAGAGACCAGGCATACCCCTGGGCTGGAAGGCCAGTTAGTCTAGCCTCCACGGTAAAGTTGCAGGCCAGTGAGAGACCCTATCTCAAAAGGATAGAAGGTGTCAGAGGACCAACATTAGAGATTGATTGTCCTCTGAGCTCCATGCACCAAGACACATACATGCACCCTCTACACATGACCACACACACAATATTTTTCTTAAATCCTATTAGCTAGGTTTGGCCTATATATAACTATAACAAACTAGAGTTTTCCTGTCCCGTCCACCTGCTCCAAAATAACTGACAGCTGCTTCCCAAATAACTGACTTGGAGACAATATAAATTATAAATGCTCAGCCAATAGTTCAGGCTTGTTACAAACTAGCTCTCACAACATAACCCATTTCTATTAATCTGTGTGCTGCCCTGAGGTTCGTGGCTTTTACCTCTGTCTGATTTTGTGTGTCTGACTCGTTCTCCTTCTGGCTCATGACTCCTCTGACTCTGCCTTTCCTCATTCTCAGTTTGGCTTTCCCACCTAACTATCCTGTTCAGCGTTTGGCCAGTCAGCTTGTTTATTAAACCAGTCATGACATATATTTACACAGTATACAGGATTATTTCACAGCACAACTGTAATCCCACTATTGAGTGGAACAGAGGCAGGTGGATCTCTGAAAGCCCCTGTGATCTACATACTGAGTTTGAGGGCAGCCAGGGCCACATAGTGAGTCAAAACAAAACAAATATTTTGAGAAAGGCTCAGGCTGGTCTCGAATGTGTTATGTAGCTGAGAATGACTTTTACTCCCCCC